TTTCGCAGACGCTTCACGAAATGCTTCGGTGCGCAAGTTGTGCTTTTGCTCCCAATGGCCATGCGCACACAGGCAACCAGGTGATGATAACACATTGCATGCGAAAGATTGGTTTTTAATGGCCTGCGACAACGTGGAATGCAGATTTTTGAGCGGCCTCGCACAGGCCGACCCTCAGCAGCGCGAAGTCAATGGTCTCGTACAGCATCGGTCTACCATTATTAAGGACCCTGGGGGGTCCAAAAATGCAATGGAGCAATGACGATGCCGACAGCACAGACCACTGATAATTTAGACCCAGACTTCGCCAGCGTTGCTTGTGAGTGAGTTTGAGCCAGACAATCTGCATTTCCTAAGTTTGAGTGATCGCAACATGTTTAACCGTAAAATCGCACATGTCCAACATCTTGTTCGTACTTACGATGTCGCATGCTTCAGCGAGCTTCACGTGTCGAGCGCTGTTGCACAATATGCATTTTTCTCGCATGTCGGGGGAATCCGTTCTCTCTTCCATTGCAATGGCCGCTTCCCAGGCTTGGCCATCAGCGTCAGTGAACGATTGATGGCGACACTGGGCGTTGAGGGGGAGGAGGGCATTCAGAATCATCACGTTGTTTTGGTTGAGGGTGCAGCTCATGCTTTCTTCTATGACGTCGGCACTTGCACGCGCTTGTATATTAACATGTACTTGGATAGCCATTCCCACGCGACTCGGACACGGCAGGTGCGAGAACTCATCCGTGCCATTCGTATTTTTTTCCGAGGAGCGCGTAGGCGGCAGTCTTGAATGCACATTTGGTGGGGATCGAAATTTCGTCGTTCAGCCAGAGCAGCGGTCGCCCTCATCCGCTGGCTCCTGGCACCCAGGACGGCGCCTTCTCGAGGCGTGGGAAGATCTCCTAGCCCTGACCGGCGCTCCCCATCAAGGCGAGCTCGATGAGCATACTTTTAGACGGGCTGGCGTCACCCGCGCGGGCGCTCGTTGGTACATATCTGAAACACTTGATTTCGCCAGAGTAGGTTGTGACTTTTTCGGCATGCTCACAGACAGCAACATGTCCACGTTGTGAGGGGGCTGCCGTGCCCGAATGCATCCGATCACCTGCCGGTCGGCGTTGCCTTCCATAAGCGGCCTCGGCGCCGCAAGAAGAGGTTAACCCGGGCAGAGGCGTGCAAAGCCATGCCGGATTGGCTAGCATACGATGAGCAATTCCTGCAGCTATTCGCTGAAGACGTTCGGTCGTGGTTGCCCCGGAGGGCCGCTGGATTGGATGCGCTTTGTGAGTTCAAAAACATTGCTCAGGCGTGCGCGAAATCGGTCGCGCAGGAAGTGCGAGGCACTGCAAAACTTGCGACCCGCATGTTCGATGTCACACTTGCCGCTTACACGGCCGCTCGGGAAGGGGGGCGCGTGGAACCCGCGCTTCTCTCCAAGTGGTTGAAGCTTTGCCCATTCCTTTCGCCGTTGGTTGAGGCGGAATTTGAGTATGCCAGCTCGAGCGTCATCTTGCGAGGGTCAGAGGATTTGTTAACTGAGTTGCGCCGGCTTCACGGGGAGGTGTTGCGGGAGCAGGCCTTAGATGAAGAATTTCGGCGGGGGCATGAGGGCGAGTTGACAGCAGCAGTTGGCGACGGTGTCTCTGCTGGCAACGCAGTCGCCGGGGCTAAGGCGCACCCAGGAGTAGTTCAAATCTTGAAGGCCCTCTGCTTGCAAGAGCGGTATCACATCACAGAACTTTGGGGTGACAGCGTGGGCCGGCACATGACGTCGAATTCTGAAATAGGCCGGTGTTTGAGGGAGAACGCTCGCGAACGCCAGGGGAGTTCACGCGGTGACAGCGCACTCTTTTCGCAGATGCTCCGTGGGTGGGACCTCGATTTGAGCGACGCTAGACTTGCTCTGTCTGAAACCGAGGTCCTTGACATCCTCTTGGCACTGCCTGAACACAAGGCCCCGGGGACCACGGGAGTGAGGGGCCGTTTGTATAAATTGCACGCTGATGTGTTGAGCACGGTTTTTGTCGAAGGTTTCCATGACCTTACGCACGGAGCGCGCGAGGCGCCGTCTCACATGACTGACTTCCTTTGGCATGCAATTCCTAAGAAGCAGGGGGCTGATGCCATTGCGTTTTTGTGCGATCTCGAGCTTCCGAACGAAGACGCCAAAATCCTAGGCCGCACGCTGTGCCGAATCCTTGACCAGGCTGCATCTCAGCAGCTGAGGCGGAGACAGCAGGCCTTTGTAACGGGAGGGCGGGTCGAGCGCAACATCGTCGAAATTGCCGAAGCCATTCGCGCTGACCGTGGCGATGCGGCCGCGCTTAACTTCGTTCTGTTTCTTGACTGTTCGAAAGGATTCAATTTGCTTTCTTGGGAGTGGGCCAATGCCGCTTTCGCTCACGCGGGCCTCCCGGCGCAGCTCTTGAGAGGCATCCAGCGGCTCATGCACGCGCACCGCGCGTTTCTTACGTGGTCAGGCGACGTGTTTTCACCGGCGTGCTTCTTGGCAGGGTACTCACAGGGGCATCCGTTGTCCGTGTTCATATACATAATGGCAGTCGACCCCTTCCTTGCACGGGCTGCTGCGGTACGTGGCGTTCTGCATGTGTGGGGCTTTTGTGACGATTGGAAGCTTTTCTTTGATGCTGCGAGTGCTTTGGACGAGCTTGTTGCCATGTTTGACGCATTTGAGCGTGCATCTGGCCAGGTCTTCAATCGGCAGAAGACTGCGTGGATGCCGAGTCGCGCGCTGACGGCTTCGGAGGAAGCGTGGCTGGCAGACAAAATGCAAGAACCAAACATCGTAACGCGGCATAAGTCATTGGGGTTTTGGTTCGGGCGGGATGCCTCTGAGGCGGATCTTCTACACGACCCGCTCGTCAAGTTAAAGCATCGCCTGTGCCTGCTCCGAAGCGGCCACGCGAGCCTCTCCACGAGGCTTCTGGCCTGGAACGTGTTTGCCGCCCCTCTCTTGTCATGCGTAATGCAGTTTTGCTTAATATCTAGGCAGGTATTAAACGAAGTTCGGGAGCTAGCTTTATCTTTTTTCGAGAGAGTGCGGTGGGCGCCCTTTCAGGTATTTTGCCATACGAAAGCTCTGTTCAAAATGAAGCTCGAATCCCAAGACCCATAGCCCTGATTGCCGCGGCCTGGAGGCTGGGACGCGCTGGAGGAATCCAGCCAGATCTCATGGCTGGGTGGGAGGGTGATCAGCGTGCTGCGTCTGTGCAGCGGCAGACAGGTGGATTGCGTCCGCTGTCGTGTTTCGCCAAGGCGTTTGGTGTCTTCCGCGCCATCGTCGGCCTCGCTGTGAGCGAAGCGTTGGCTGAGGCTGCCGGGAGGGGCCGCGCAGTGGACAAATGCATGTTTCGATTAGTGTATCGGGCGCTTCATTCTTCTGAGTTTTGGTGTGCCAAAAGCATTGTTTCTGGGAGGCTGCGAGCTCGGGGGCTTTCTTGGGTGCCGATTGAGAGGAATTTGCGTCACATGCCTTCTTCTGTGCCTGGAGAACATCGGGTCTCGATCATGCGGCGGCTGTTGAACGGCGAATTGACCTCACGCCGGCTCGCGCCGGTGTTAGGGCAGCCGGTTCAACCGTGCCCCTTCTGCGGAGCTGAGCGCGGCGATTGCGCAAGGCACTGGGGTGAGTGCAGCGTTTTACTTTCCTCTCGCAGGGGGCTCAGCCCAGAGTACGCGCAATTGACTGTTGGCCAGCTCTGGCAGGAGGATGTTGCTGGCGGGGGAGAGCTACAAAGGGTCCTTGCGTACGCGAGCGCGGTGGTGCGACTTCGCAGGCTCGTGCTCCAACCCGGCGTTGCCTTCTACGACCTTGAAGACATGATGCGCCACGCTCGGCGCTTGAGCGAGGATCCGTGGATCACGGGGTCTCCGGTTGAGAGTGCTCGGGCCGAGCGGCGTGCCCTGCGCGCAAGACTTCCCACCTACGCTGAGGGGTGGGTCGTCTACGCTTCGGACGAAGCGAGCCGGCGTCAGGGCACTGCAGAGGTGAGCTTATCTTCGTTCGGGTGTGTTCGTTACGCCGAAGGCAGCCGGCGCGTCGCGGCCTCCCGCGGTGCGCAGCTTGGCCACGTCACAAACAATGTTGCGGAATACGCTGGTTTGTTGGAAAATCTGCAGCATGCTTCTCTGTACCCTGCCGAGCACATCCGGTTTCACGTCGACTCGTTGTTGCTTGCTCGTCAGGTCAAGTGCCAGTGGCGGTGCCGAGCGCCTTCGTTGCGGCCGCTCTTCGAGACAGCATTGCGGAGACTGCGAGAGCTGCGCCGCCTGCCTGCCGTGCGCGCGTGTGAGGTCATCCATGTCTACCGAGAGTTTAACGTTGATGCTGACGCCGTGTGCAACGCTGTTTTGGATATGGTCGCCGATGGCATCGCGCCAGAGCGCGCGGGTTTCCATGTCTCGCACAAATTTGGCACCTTTTGACTCAGGCGCCTGACCTAGATGCGTATCGGTGGCAACACCGGGGCCGCTGCAGTTCGTCCCCAGTTCTGTGGAACCGCTCTGACCATTTGCCGCCCGACCAGCTGTCTGCTCGGAGGGGTGGAAGACAGGAGGTGGCGAGGAGAGGACGGATAAGATCTTAGACGAATGACTACACTGATTTGTTAGGCCGCGGGCCCCGTTGTACGGCCCGCTCATTGATAGGTCGCGAACCCCGCAAACGCGTTCGCATAACTTTTCATCACGACGATTCTTTTGGTTACTCGCGCAGCGGGTAGTTTCTCCAGCCACACATTGGTGTATACATGCACTGTTGCTCATTGCACTTTCTTCCTTTTTTCTTTAGTAATTATTATTTACCCTCCGTCCTCCTTCCTCCCTCATCCACAGCAGATATCAGCACGGTCTGGATTAGTTCAGGCATGCAACTGCCGTCTGACCATTTGACATGTTCAAAACTTCCAGGAGGTATTCCGTGACATATTCACTCTGCCGTTGCAGAGCGCTCGTCGGAAAAAAGTCCCCCGCGCTGGGCGCGCATGGCCGTGAGGGCGCCGCTGGAGGGTGGGCTCGGGGGCGATGGCGGCGGGGAGACGGCCGCGGCGGCCGTCTGAGGCGTTGTGGAGGCCTCAGCGCGAGCGGCGGGCCGCGCAGCGCTGGGCAGCCCTCTCCCGCGAGCGCCTGGTGGAGCGCCAGGCGTCCGAGCTCGTGGAGCTGCGGAGCCTGGCGTCGGCCCCCCCCAGCGCCCTGCGCCGCCTGGCGCTAGTGGCGCCCGTGCTGATCGCCCAGGAGCACGGCGGGCCGCTGGAGGAGGAGCGCATCCTCGAGCGCAATGTGGGGTGCCACGCGCGGGCCCTCCCGCGGCCCGGCGCTCCGCGGGCCGCCTGGAGGAGGGCGCAGCGCGGGCCGCGCCTCCCGTGCCCGAGGTCGGCCGTAGCGGCGAGCTCAGCGGAGGTGGAGCCGCGGGCCGCGGGCGCAGATGCCATTCACGTCGCTGATTTTGAAGCGGAGCTCTTGGCGGAGGCTGACGCCCAGGCGAGCGGCGCTGCGCCCCCTCCCCCGCCAGGCGTTTGGCTGGGCGCTGACCCGCTGGCAGGGGCGAGGACCTTCCGGGAGGGCTTCGACGCGGGCTGGCGCCTTGCTGGGACGGCCTCCGGCGCTCCGTGGGGCGGCGACGGCGGGGTGCTGCAGGAGCAGTGCGTCCCCTCCTCGTCCTTCCGTGGCGTTTGGGAGGTCTGCAGCGGCGGTGCGTGCGGCGACGGGCAGGCTGCCCCTGCCGCCAGGGCAGAGCCTGGCCCTCCCCGTGGGGGGTTTTGGAGGGCAGGCGCGGCGATGGAGGAGGACGGCAGGGCCGCCCTCCATGCGCCGTGCCGTGCGTTCGATGGCGTGCAAGGCGGTACTGCAGGCGAGAGAGCGCCGCGGCCGCCGCTGCTTCTGGAGAGCCTGGCGGGCCCAGGCAGCGACGACGGCTTCGATGACGGCTTTGTGGGCGGCCCTGTCGGCGGCGGCACGGACGGGGGCGCGGCCTGCCCTGGGCCCCCGCCCGTTCCGAGCCCGACGGCCACGTCCTGGGGTATCGGGGCCGCTTCGGCGCGGCGGTGCTGGGCGGCGGCGCGGCCGTGGAGCTGGAGAGGGGCGCCGCTGGTTCCGGGCGGGCCGCCGCTGCGGCGAGTGCCGAGCGGTGGCCCGCTCGGCACTCGCCGCGGTGGCTGCTGCGGCTCGCGGGCCGCTTTCGGGAGTGGAATCGCTCCTGGACCTCGCCGAAGGCCGCGCTGAGGATTGGCTTCTGCAGCGTGAGCTTACTCTCGGAGACAGGGCAGAGGTCGAAGCCCGCGCTGAGAGCTTACTGTTGCAGAAGGGAGTGCGTAGCGATTCTTTATCACGGTGGTTGCTTTGAGGTGGATGGTCAGTGATCGCTTCTGGCTTGTGCTGTCCTCGCACCTTGATGCTAGGAGTCGTGAGTGAAGCCTCCTGTGCTTGAATGTGCACGCTGCGCATTTGCAATGCAGTCGAGTTCACTCTGGCGCAGGTAGTGTAGTTTCGTTATGTTATGCGCTGCCGCGCGGGGGGTCGGCTTGTCATGCGTTCGGCAGCCGTCCCTGGTGGCCGCGGTGGAGGCCCAGGGCGGCCCCCGCGGGGAGAGGCGGCCCTAGGCGGCCCCTCTCGGGTGGGCGTGTCTCGGGTGGCGCTTATGGCCCCTGGTGGCCCCTCGGCCCTTTTTCTTTCGCCTTTAAGGCCCCGTCTTTAATTTTGACTTTAACACGACAGAGCACACGGGAGCACGGCAGATCACAGGAGCAGGAGGAACACGGCAGAGCACGGCAGAGTACGCAGGAGCGCAGCAGAACGCGCAGGAGCATGGCAGAACACACGGGAGAACGGCTGAACACACCAAACACATAGGAGCGCGGCAAAACAAGCAGGAGCGCGGCAGAACACACAGGAGCACGGCAGAACACACCAGAGCACGGCATAACACACAGGTGCACGGCATAATTGACGGCATAACATGCTTTAGCACGGCAGAACACAGAGGATCATGGCAGAATACGCAGGGTCACGAGTAGCACGGCAGAGCGCGCAGAGTACATGGGAGCACAGCAGAACACGCAGGAGCATGGCAGGACACACAGGAACGCGGTAGATCGCACAAAACACAGAGGAGCACGGCAGAACAAGCAGCAGCACGGCAGAACACACAACAGCACGGCAGAACACAGGAGCACAGCAGAGCAGGACCATGGCAGCATACGCAGGAGCACGGCAGAGCACAGGGGCGCGGCAGAACGCGCAGGAACACGGCAGGACACACAGAGCATCGATTCAAAGGGCCGCACCCACAGGCACGCGCAAATAGGCACACGCACACAGGCATACGCACACACATGCACACACAGACACATACACGCGCGCACACACGCGCACTCTCGCACGCACGCGCGCACGCACGCACGCACACACACACACACGCACACACCACACACACGCACGCACGCACGCACACACACACACACACGCACGCCCGCACGCCCGCACACACACAAACACACGCACGCGCACACGCACACGCGCACGCACGCACGCGCGCACACACGCACACACACACACGCACACACACACACACACGCACACACACACACACACGCACACGCACACGCACGCGCACAGCACACGCA